TCACACACACACGCACACACACACACACACGCACACACACGCACACACACACATTCACACACCCACACATATATTTTTTCCCCTGGGTTTGACTGTAAAGTATATCTGATATCAGACTCTTGGGGAACCTCAGAGTTTGCAGCAAATGGTACAACTCCCAAGGCAGACAAGAACCGAATCGGTAGTACCTGATACGGGTGCGGAGAAAACTACAGTACTAAATACTAAATCCTCCTGACACAGTTGAAGACCCCTGATTAAGGTTTTAACGATTCAAAGACATACAAGACATATACTGCAACGGAGCATATAAACGTGGTAAAGGATAGTGTGTAGTGAATATTAGACGGATGTACAAAACGTCAATGATTAGTATACTGCTTTCTTTCTTGTCTATGAGTAAAATGTAAAGATGCTCAAAAATCCCTTTTCAGGTCCTAGCAAAAAGGTGGTTGTTTAGAAGCCGGTATATACAGGTTCAGTTGGGCTTTAGAGAGGTAGCAGGCAAAATCTCACTGTCATCAGAAAAAAAATGAATATACTAGAGTCTCAACCGTCGAACACAATCTCTTAAAGGGAGTGAAAATTTCAGAATAGTCGATTTTACCGTGAACAATAGAGCAGTTCTAGGAATTTCTCTGAGTGATAATATATCCAATAGATTTACATCTTAAAAATCAATGTAAAGCCATGTGGCATTGTGCAAGACGAGAAAGCACACAAAAACAGTAACACGAAAGTTTATCAAATATTAAGACAACATACACCCAAGTTTCAGCAACCACAAAATTGATATCAGGTGATAAGCATCGTCAGAAAGCTCCTGAAAAAAAACAAGCCACGGGCACTGACAACTTACCGGCCGAATTCTTTCTACATCTTTGATACAGAAAAAAGTTTATGAACTTAATATGAATACGATCCACAGAACAGAAAATACACCACGATATCTCCTAACTACTACATTTGTACTTTGTGCTAAGCCTAATCCTCCATAAATGTAAAATTAAGTTGCACTCTGTAAAAGCGTAGGGCAAACCAATACCAGTAAAGCGTCTAGACCGTATCCATTTTGACGTATAGAAAGAAATGGGGACATGTGAAATGATCTTCAATTTAACAGGTGAACGAATGATCGTATATAGTAAAGTATAGTGTGCTTGTGTGTGTGTGTGTGTGTGTGTGTGTGTGTGTGTGTGTGTGTGTGTGTGTGTGTGTGTGTGTGTGTGTGTGTGTGTGTGTGTGTGTGTGTGAGAGAGAGAGAGAGAGAGAGAGAGAGAGAGAGAGAGAGAGAGAGAGAGAGAGAAAGAGAGAGAGAGAGAGATGTTATTATTATTATATTAAAGCACTCGACAGAATAAAACACTCGAGACTAACCAGTGAAGCAAACGGAATACCTGCCCACGAAGTGAGAATAATCAACCAACCTATGCTACGACTATCTGAACATTGTCATAGATTAAGGGAATTGAAATGGATGCAAATTATAACCAATCCTCTATTCCTCGTTACCTTATAATACGACATCCTGATCATATAAACAGACGGCTGTCTTTTGCAGTGCGCAATATGAAAGTTCACGATGGAAGGGTTGATGAATTACTTATAGAAGAGAAGATCAGGTGAGAGAGAGAGAGAGAGAGAGAGAGAGAGAGAGAGAGAGAGAGAGAGAGAGAGAGAGAGAGAGAGAGACGGACAGACAGACAGGCAGGCAGGCAGGCAGACAGACAGACAGAGAAAGAGAGACAGGCAGACAGACAGAGACAGAAAGAGAGACAGACAGACAGAGGGATAAAGAAAGAAGAGAGAGAGAATGAGATTGATTTTAGATAAATCGAAATTGATGATACTGATCTAAGCTCATCCAAAATATACAACCCACGTTCACAAATTTATAGACATTAGTTAATAACACACTCTCCCCATGCAGGAATCCCGAAATATATTGTTAGAGAAAACACAATTCCCAAGATTTCTGAATTATATACGATTAACTTATATACTACTGCAGCGCCATCTCTCCCTCGCAGTATAATAGTGTACCTTCTCAACATAACTCACACAAACACTCCATTGATACCTGTCATTACTACGTATCTTATATTTACCACTATCACAGTTGCTACCCCCGATCAATATCTATTTCAAGTTTATGTGAAAGGACACATCTCTAATACTTCTTTTTTTTATTTGTACTCTAAATGATTTATCAAATGGCTAGTATATAATATATGACACAGTTTGTAAATTCTGTAATAATTCACCTCATTAATATTCAATACATTCAAATGATTAATGCTATAATAAATATATTTACAGTGAAGAGCAAAACATCAACAAAGCAAAAAGAAATATATGTAAAGTTTGTAAATGAATAGATATATACAGATAGAGAGAAAAATTACAAAAATAACTGAAAATAAATATAAAGGCGCAAAGACAGACGAATAGATATATAAATATATAATTAGATAGATAGATAGATAGGTGAATAAAGAGT